TCGTGCTCGATCTGAGCTATGCGCAAGGAAGAAGAGACGGGAGCGGTTCCCGACTGGAACAATGGGGCGTTTGTTTCCAGGCGTTATTATATAGGTTACACACAGGAATATGTTGGTAACAAGGACTCTGGATTTTTGTTTCTGATAAGGGGAGTTAGAGCGGAAAGGACAACATACTCATAACGCAGGAGATAGCATCAGTTAGGCGTTGATTTCAGCAAATGATATCAAGGGAAAGGTAGACACGGCGACGACGTGTGACAGGAAATGATAACTGATAGGGCCTGCATAGAAAAGATTGCAGCTGTTGCTTCAATCAAATGCTATGGAGCCTCTACACCACGAAATTATGGAGTTTTAGTGATGATAGCGACATTGATGACGGGTGACAAGCAATTTTATCAATTGATAAGTAAAGATAAGGGGACATTCTCACGACATCTCTGACCACTACACTGCCAAAAAAGCCTCTCAGTAAGCGAAATTTTCCCACAGCCATCACTCCTCTGATAGCACTAGAAAATGTACTCATCCCACTAGGGGGGGTATATACTTCGCCTGAAACAGGAAGTTTGGAAAAATCAAAAACTTCAATATTGGAACACACTTTATGCGTTCAGTGAGTATTTAACTTTTTTTGCTTTTCAACTTTAATCACTGATGAGAACGAATAACGAAGTAGTTTGTAAGATATTCAATGAACGCAGCCTAAATATTGTCATCTGCAGCCATTCATGCAACCTTAGCAGGTGGATTGCATGTTAATGACAAGTTAATCGCCCATCGTTGGTGTTGTGATGCAGGTAATAAAAACGGAATTTGTTCATCTACTGTGCAACACATATCGATATTCTGTACTTCCTATCTAATTCTGAGATCTACGTCTACGTATCTAGGGGTGCAGATTTCGCTAGGTTACTCTGTCTATTATGATTCGACCACTACCGCGCAATATGAGCAGCTCATGCTAACAAATTCCATCCCGTCATGATGTGCGCCTGGCGAAGCCAGGCCAGCTCGGCGAAGCCGAGCTAAAAAGAAGGAGGAGAGCTCGGCGTCAGCCGGGCGATCCGACTGGTAATATATCTATGAAGGAAAAGTAAAACGTATACTTTACTATGAAGTATTCCACCTATAGGTGGCATTAGCCGTTAGGCGGAAAGTGTGTTTCCATAAGCATGCCAGAGTACGCTGTGAATTACGGCAAATGATTCGCCAATATTCTTAACATGTAGTCGAGGTTCATCTACATCTTTCTCGAAAGACCACGTAATAACAACATTAGAACGTTTTATGTGCAGACCGTTATTCTTTTTACATTAATAGTGCTTTTTCTTGACTGTTCATAGTATTAACAGATTTGCTTTCATTCCTTGGTGAGTTCACCCGACATTCGTTTGATATCCCTCATTGGCTCCTCTTGCGGTGTTCGTTCCTTAAATAGTAGTCATTGCATAGTAAACAGATGGAAACCATAAAAATTCAACCTAAAAAATCAACAAAAATAAAGAAAAACAATCCTTCATCAATTGCACTATACACGAGGAAATTGCAGTGAGGCTTGGAAAAAAAACGCTGCATTTCCCTACAGCTTCCGTAAGTGGCAGGACCTGCCCTTGTGGAGATGACAAGCTTTCTGGAGACTAACTCTGGGTGGTGTGGACAGTGAATGAATATCACTCTACCAGGTAATTAATGTAGAAGGTATGTTGCTCACAGAACAAACGCAGGCTTGGCTTATTGATTAGTGGTTTCAACCCACTATTTGCGTGCCCACATGTTTTTCGGTGTGATATCTGACCTTTTTCGGTTCACGTTTTTCCACATCAAATGTCGTGATTGTTACAGTATTCGCCCACGTGACCGTATTTTGAGCGTCGCTCATTGAAGACTTTGAACCCTTGACAACACGAATACTTTTCCCTTTTTTCGTATCCCTGAAACAACATGGACTGTTAAGTCTCCTCTTACTGGGTGGTGTTTTAAATGGAAGTTCGTAGTAACGATTCTGCTTAGGCTTCATCCACGTGTCAAAAAACTCACTTCTGTTCGCAAAACAAGTTTAGTACTGTGGTTACAGTGTTTCCAAATATTAGTTCCCTGGAATAAGTTCGTTAGTTTGGAATGACGAATATAAATAGTATTCGATATCGAGCGAGAAGAATATCAAGTACAAGACCTCCGTCTCTATTTCAAATGATCTCCGAGATCTACCTGAAGCTCAACGCGTGCAGAGGAGAAAAGTTTCTCTCATTATATCATGTCTTCCAACAATTTGTGACTGCACTCTAAGCCTTTGCCCACAGTTTCTTTGGCCATGGTGATGTGACCATACGCCCTTGTGGGACACGACCTTAACTTATCTCCCACTACTAATGTTACCTATGCACCCCTGAATTACTTGCTGGAGGCAATTCTCCAGTGTGGCTACAACTATGCTGTGAATTTTTGGGGCTATCTTATCAGCTGTTATCACGTCCTGCCACCAACCAATAATGTTCCCATCTTGCCCACTATCTTACTCCTTGGAACCAAAGTCCTAGCGTCGCTGTGAAGCACGTTATCAAGTTGGTGACCCTTCGCTTCTAAGACTCCTTATGGTATCTTATCATCTGTTATCACTTCCTGCCACCCACCACTAATGTTCCCATCCTGCCCCCTATCTTACTGCTTGGAACCAACGTCCCGACGTTGCTGTGGCCGGCGCTATGAATTTAGTGGCCCTTCCCTTCTAAGGCTCCTTATGTTATCTTATCAGCTCTTATCACTTCCTGCCACCTACCAATAGTGTTCCTGCCCGACCTCCTACATCACTTATCAGTTTGAGCGCACAATCGCTGTTTTGAAGGAAGTTATGAATTTCCGGTCAAACACACATACAGACACACAAACATACATTCACACACACCAACAGACAAACTTAGCGGATTATATATAGTAGGATAGGTCCAGCTCCACACAAGCGGAGGCGTTCTAGGGCTACGTTCGCTCTTTCAAAACTAAGAACAACACGATTCTCGTGGAATTTTCCGAGAGCATTGATTACAATGTACTTGCATAGGTATTTTCAGCGAAAACCTAGAATGGAGGCAAAATATTGTGCCTGAGGTAGATTGGAGCGAAAGAGGGTTTGAAGGGTTATACGTCCTAGGCTGCGTTCATGCTTTGCGCAAGGTCCACCACAGACCACCAGCTTCCCGAGTCCGTCTTGCAGCGACTATCAGCGATCGGAAGTGGAGAGTATGGGGCATTAGGAGGGTAGCAGATAACTGGTAGGGAGAATGGGGCAGGAGGAGGGTAGCACTTGTCCGCTACCCTTCTACCGTCCCCTACTCTCTACTTCCAGTAGCTGCTCGTCGCTGGTGGACGCTGGTAGTCAGTAGATATATTTATGCTTTCCTATTCGCTGATGCTGCCGCAGCTTGAAACGCTGATGGACGCTGCCGCAAAGTGTGAGCGAACAGTCCTCCACATCGCGCTGCATTTGAACATTTTCTTTTCGTGTCAATGATTTATTCAGAATTCAGCAGGTGCACAAAGACTCACTTTACATCAACACAACACGAAAATTTATTGGAGCGATCAGTAGGAATTAGGTTCTACAGCCTTGCCGGTTACGCATTGAGCACGGCTAATCAAAATCTGATGGTGAGAGATTTCGAACTTGAGATTAGTGCTGATGGTGAGAGCTGACGATTAGATCCATGGTCAATTATTTGCTCAAAGGTAGTTGGAGGATGAACCCTTAAGACGAGTAGGACCTAATACGCCTGGCAGGACGGAATTCCGCGACCCTGAGCAGGCGCTGCGTAGCGCCTTTTCCAAGGAAGTACCCTTATAAGGCCCTATCAAGCTACAACATACCGACCCGAACGCCCACCGCGCCCGCCCGCCCACAAATGGACGACCGTACCTGATGCTCGTATTGCTTCATTTGCTGAAGCAAAATATGAAGCGAAGAGATTAATATTAGTCGGTGCTGCATGAATACTGCATGCACAGGGGGGGCCAAAAAAAAGTCATTCCGGCCGAGTCACATATGAGCGAAGTTTTCGCAGCCCAGACAGAGGAAGTGGATATGAGTACCAGGGCGGAAGATACCCAAGATCTTCCTCTATAAGCAGGAGCCGGCTGCCGCCATTCACCTTCATGTACACCAAAATATGAAGTCATCTCCAGTCGCGGCCTGAGTGGAGAACGCCTTTGGAATTCACGTGGCCTCCAAACAGCTGCGGAACTTCTTGAATGGAATCACCCATGGATAGCTACCTGGAGACCAGTACTCTTGATCTGCAAGACCTCAAACATCGAGCAGCTCCGGCAACGTCGCTACGGTCCAGGACATCATCTTCACCCCATTCACCAAGGCGCGGGTTGATGGTGTGGACCGGCCGTACCTGGAATGGATGAACCGATATTTTCTTCGTGGGCCCCAGACTGAGGGTGTGCGCTGGTGGCTACATCGAGCAACTCGAGGAGAATATCCCATCTTCATGTCGTCGCCCGTACCTTCTTGGAAACTTTGTACTGCTACAGGATTGGGTGACAACACATTTAATCGAAGGGCGTTGGAAAAACTTTCGCCTACTTGGAATGGAAGAACGTTGAGTACCTGGAAAAGATGGAGTATTTAAGCGGGGGTCCTGAACTAAACCCCCTCAATTACTCGGTTCGGGCGGAGCTCAACAGGGTGGTCTACAGTGGCGGAGAAATCAACGATCTCGCTCAACTCCGGTACCCACTTTCGCGCGGCCGAATCTCTCGATGGCGCTCCTCCAGAAGGCTGTGGCGGAGTATCATTATAGTATTTAATGTGCTCTTTAATATGGTAGTAAAAATGTCCGATAAAAATTTAATAAAGTGTAACTTATAGCGCCTTGAAAGTCATGGAGGCAAAATGACTTTTTTTGCCCCCCCCCCTGTATATGGATACACGTATGGGTACACACGGGCAGTGAACATGATACTGCTGGGAGACAATAGCATTCTACCACTGAGGTTCACAAAAGGAATGCTATGCTATAATCACAGGAAACGTACCTTTCGAATAGCACATCATCTTTTTTAAATGTGTCTAATTCTGTGAAAATGTCAAAGGATTTCTTTGTAAACGGTGGCCGCTTCAATGCTGCACCATTCACAACCTTAACAACATACGATCATGTTTCAGCACGCGCCTGAAATCCAATAAATATCGAATTCGTGGCTACAAGGCGGAGAGTTATCCTGTCAGAGGGGACTTGCACGTGCATCAAAGCCAACGCAATAGCGGCCTAGAATAATCTTTTTCGAAACGGTATGTTCAAGAATGGATGCGAAAGCTCAAAGCAAGAAGAACGGAACAAAGGTGTGGTTGATGAGGGCCCATGAAGGTTCGTCTTATAGACGAAAACTGGATGAGGTCAAGTTCTGCTAGGCAGATATTCCTAGTGCATCCGTTGGCCGAGCTTAGCCAGAAACATTGGGGCTGATGAAGAGAGTGAGTGATTGGTGCTTCAGCTTCGCCTAATATTCACAACTGCACAGCGGACCCTGGCCTTGAACCAAATACGGGTTATGTGATCCTGTGGAGCGATCCGAACTAGCTCTGATTCGTTCCGAGATAATCTTTTTGAGAAACAGAAGATAGCGGTGCAGTGTGTGTTACCTTTTCGATAGCTTCAATATCAACCGGATAGTCGTCTTCGGCCATTTCCTCTTCATCTCTGAAATATTTCGCCACAATGGACATAGTAACTGCTGTCCCATATACGGCTTTTGCTACTGCCATAAACCCATACCCACCCAGTTGACACGGTCCAAAATGGGCATCCCTTGACGAAAGGGTTACTCGCATTGACTCCTTTTCTCACAGAAGCGCTTCTGGTATCATCTGAAAAGCAGCATGTATAATAAGGAAACAATTTCGAAAACTTGAGAATACCATTGGTGTGAAAGACTAGAAATAGATCGATCGAATGATACGTTGTAGATTTGAAAAGCCTCACAATATCTTGTAGACGGAAAGGGAAACATATCCTAGTAAGAGGGAATCCAGGAACCTGCTCTCTTCTCACTCTCACTGCGAGCTAATCATCAACTGTTCTTGCGATCTTTGCAATGGTGCAATAGCTTTTCAGTTTTGATTTCTTATAGTGAAAAAAACATGGTTATCCGTACCTTCGTCCTCTTCAGCAAGCTCTGCCGGAAGAACTTTCTCAGGAACAGGTGCTAGTGGTAGCAGTATCTTGTTTTTGTTGCTATAATACAGTCCTCATCTTTATCCTCATCTTTATTCTTTTTGGATTATGTGAAGGAATGAAGAAGAATGAGGTTGTCTAATAAATGGAACACTACAAATGTAGAGCTGCGAAATAAGGATTGAAGTCGAATAACGCTGTGTCCATACTTTGCGGCAGCGTCCACCAGCGTTCCGAAGCGTGCTTCAGCATCAGCGACTAGCGAAGTATAGATATCGAATAACGTCGCCAGCGTCTGTCAGTATCCACCAGCGACGAGCAGCGTCTGAGGGTGGAGGGACAGTAGGAGGGTAGCAGACAGCTGGTAGCCTCCTGTCACGCCTTTCCGCTGCTGGTCGCTAGTAGACGCTGGTAGACGCTGACAAAGGTTTGATCGAAACCCATACTTCCCTAGCCCTCTGCTGGTCGCAGTTGCACGCTGGTAACGTGGCAGACGCTAAAAGACCCTAGAACGATATCTATACTTTCTAATTTGCTGACGCTGCCGGACACTCGGAACGCTTGTGGAGGCTATTGGTCGCTGGTGGATATCTATACTTTCTGAGTTGCCAGCGCTGCCGTACACTCGGAACGCTGATGTACGCTACTGTTCGCTGGTGGACGCTTCCGCAAAGTATGAACGCAGCATAATGAGAAGGACGAGATATGATGCTGTGTGTTACTTGCGAGAATCCCCCTTCAGGCCTCTTCCGACTGAATACCAGCCTCGTCTAATATTGGTGGCACACTTACTAGAGCATCTCATGTTTCTCAAGATAGGAGCAGTGAGTAGTCGCTTATCCTAGTTCAATCTGCCTCTCTGCTCCCGTGTCTTTTATTCTCCTATGTGTTTCGCCTATTTCCACTATATCCATTTTCAGAAGTTCTCTGCTCATTAAATCTGCACTTCTTGGTGCCTACTTTTCGTATTCACATACGTTCATCATCACTGGGGATGTCTACAATTTCCTCTTCATGAAACGGAAGAAACTACTTAGCTAGTGGCATAAAAGGGTAGTGCGAGGAAGGGGAATATAGGCGACCAGAACGGCCACAAAATGAAGAAGAAAAAAAAACTGTATTCAAGAGGCAAAAGGACAATAACAATATGATTAACGATTAGATGCGAAAAGAGAGAGACAAAAATAAGGCACAGGCCGACAGAACGTCGACTGAGGTGAGGGAGATAGAACAAGGACGAGGGGCAGGGGAGATATGCCTAAGGGCCTTGAAAGAAACCACTAACTCGGGTCTGTCGACTGAGGCGGCTGCGCGCTTCTTCTTTCCGAACCATGTAGCGAACTTGGGATTTGGGCGAATTGACAAGAAGTATGCCTTCCGCTCACCGAAACCCATTGAAACTCCACGTTTTCGCCGTGGAAACGACTGAAAAATGAAGTTTTTTTTTCTTTTTACGGAGGATAGCAGTACTCAAGAGCCACAAAAATAAGCTAACGTCGTCCGGATTTTTCGTTGTTGCCGCGGTTTTCGGACGAAATTGATACAAAATTTCCATTTTGCGGAACTCAACATAGTTTTTCTCTTCTTCTCTGGCGAGTTCTCTGAAAACACTCTTGTATCTCGTTGATCAAATTTGAAAAATAGAAATCATTCCGTTTTGCTTCCACAGTGATATAATTCTCCGCAAGATCTGAGTAATCATTTCTTCAGAGCAGAGAACGTAGTTAATGTACCTACAAAACTATACCACCAACATATCGGGCTACTGCTTGGGAAAACTCTTGGGGCGCTTTCCGGGCACCTCAAGCTGAAGGCCAGTCCTACAGATGGTGTCAGCCTTTGCGCGAAGTACATGGCCGTACCATCGAAGGCGCGTTTCTCGCATTTTGTCAGCTATAGGAGCTATATCCGAACTTCTTGCGTATTACATCGTTACAAATGTGCTCCAAACGCGTGAGCCCGCTGTCCAAAGCAACATTCATCTCAGTGACATTGAGACGGGTTTCGCCTTCTTTGGTCGCGGACCAGTACTTGGCATTCTATTGGGCAACTGGTCGAGAATCTCAAACATGGATCGTTATTTCGACCACGCTTCAACAGTGCCTCACCTCCGGGTGATGACCTCCACCAGGCGTAATTGCTGATCTGAGATACTTGAATGATTTTGTACGCTTGAGATTAGTGCCATCGATTCTGATGATCCCGTCTCGCTTGCATCGGTTACCAACCACTCGGACTTTTTAAGGTCTGATCTGAATCCGAACTTCGATCGGCCCATGTTTGCATCTGTTGCTCTGGCGTATTCTTCCCTTCGCATGCAAACTCACATCATCAGCGTAAAGAGGCGTCCGAGGAACTTGCTAAAGGCGGAGCCTGCGTGTGCTGCGACGGTGATAGGAAACTCCATCGAAGTGTCTGCATTCGTCCGGACTTGGCTTTCAGGGTTTGAGTAAAGAATGCAAACCCACTCGAGCAGCTCTTTGGGGACGCCGTGCTGTTGCAAGGCGTGCTATGTGTCGTCACAAGGAGCGCGATCAAGTGCATTCTTCAGGTATAAATGTCGCATATAAGGGCTTTTGCTTCTCGATGTTTTTACGAGCAGTGTGTATGGCGTCGATGGTGCTACAGCCGGTCGCAAAGCCTCTTGGTTGGCTGAAAGTTGAGCGATGTCCCGGGTACGACCGTCAACAATTCGCTCAAAGGTTTTCATGCTGTGCAAGAGTAGGCTAATGGATGGTAGTTAGATGGTAGTTTGAGCAGTCTGCCGGGCTGCCCTTCTTCTTTCAGACTGGAATTATCGTGCCTGCTGCCAGCACTTGGGCACCTTCTTCATCAAAATCTCTGGTTGAAGAGCTTAAGATCAACCCCTAGGCTGTTCTTGTTAACCGCCACCATCTTCCACTGCCCGGGGCATGCTCTGCTGTAGACGTCACTCAGCTTAGACGAACGGACTTCACATCGAACATTCGTGTATCTTGGACATGAGAAAGTGGTGGCGTCCAGCAAAAACAGCAAACCCTGGTGCAGGAAGTAGGCGCTGTTAGAGGAAGGCTCATGTGGACCTCTTCTAGGAGAGTACGTTCAAATCTCTGATGGTGAGTTCCACTCTTCCTCGTAGTGCCACTGGGAACTGCTCGCCTCTGCGAGCCAAGCGGAATGAGGGCTACAGCAGAGGATGCCCTGGACAGTGGAAGATGGCGACGGTTAACAAGAACAGCGTGGGGGTTAACGAAGCTCTTCAATAGAATCACCAAAGAGAAGAAGGTGCCCAAGGACTGGCAGCAGAGCGTGACGATTCCCGATTTGGAAGAAGAAGGGCAGCCCGGCAGACTGCTCGAACTACCGTCCATTCGCCTACTCTCGCACAGCATGAAACCTTTGAGCGAATTGTTGACGGTTGTATCCGTGGCATCGCTTAAATTCCTGCCAACCAATGGGGCTTCGACCGGTTGTACCACCATCGACGCCGTACAAGCTGCCTTTCTTCTGGAGAAACATCGTGTGAAGCGAAAGCCCGTACATGTAGCTTTCCTAGACTTGAGGAATGCACTTGATTGCGCTCCTCGTGACGACACATGGCACGCCTTGCGACAACACTGCGTCCCCAAAGAGCTGCTCGAGTGGGTTTGCATTCTTTACTCAAACCCTGAAAGCCAAGTCCGGACGAATGCAGACACTTCGATGGAGTTTCCTATCACGTCGGAGTACACACGGGCTCCGCCTCGGAAAAGAAGTTTCGTGGACGCTTCTTTACGCTGATGATGTGGCGTTTGTGTGCGAAGATAAGAATACTCCAGAGCAGCAGATACAAGCTTGGGCCGATCGTTTGACGAAGTTTGGGCTTAGATCGAACAAAAGGTCCGAGTGATTGACAACCGATGCAAGTGAGACGGGATCATCGAAATCGATGGCACTAAGCTCAAGCGTACAAAATCATTCAAGTATCTCAGAATTACGTCCGGTGGAGTCACCACTCGGAAAGGCACAGTTGAGTTTAGCGTGGTCGAAATGACCATCCATGTTTGAGATTCTCTGCAACAAAAAGGTGCCAAAGAATCTAAGTCGAAGACCTACAAAAGTTCGCTCGATCAGTTGCCCTATAGAGTGCCGAGTGCTGGTCCGCGACCCAAGAAGTCGAAACACGTTTCAATGTACTGGGGTAAATGAACAGCGGGCCTCGCGCGTTTGAAGCACATTTATAGCTATGTAATACGCTGGAAAAGCGGTATAGCTCAAATAGCTGACAGAATGAGAGAAACGGGTCTTTGATGTTACGGCCATTAGCTGGCGCAAAAGCTGACACCATCTGTAAGACTAGCCTTTAGCTTGAAGTGCCCTGAATGTGGCCTATGAGACCTTCGCATAGCGTTCGTACGCTGCATACAGGCTTGAATATAATTGGAATCCGCCCCGACCAGGCATTTACTCGAGAGATGTGGCGTCATCATACCAGGAGAGCGGACCCTAGTGTGATATGAGAGCGGTTAATGAACGAGACAAACGTTGAGGAATAAGGAGAAGAAGCACGTTCACATCTCTGCTGTTCATGTTGCTTGAAACCTGATAGACAAGTGGCTTGTTAATTATTCGTCTTCATGCACATATGTAACGATGTAACGGTTGATCAAGGAAGCGGACAAAGACCGCTCGGCACTCACTGAGCATGGATATATGGCTGATAAGATCGCAATCATTCGTGGGGGGGGGTGTATGAGCCCGCCTCCGGATGTCTTGCTCCAGCGATGACTTTGGAACAAAGTGGTGGAAACACCGCTGATGGGCTCATTCCAAGACTCTTGGAACCGCCACGAGATTGCGAGCTGTATGCATGCACTATGTGCGGCTCCTTTTCATTAATCATTAATTGTCAGTGTAACACTGATCAAGCACCCTATCGTAGAGCAGTTCATTAACTATCGGTTGTCTCACCTGGCGTCACGCTTCTTCTGCACTCGTTCTCTAATAGCATTCGGGCTTGTTTTTTGTTTAAGTTGACTTGTTTTTTACTACCTAGAAATACAGCTCAAAACGATATAAACACTAGTTACTAGCAACGAACCTTCTCTTTCGCTTTTGCTCATTCCATAAGATCGAGTAGATAACTGGAACAGATGTTTCGTGAGCGAAAAGTCAAAGCAAAGTCAAACCATATCTGAGCTCCAATACGTTTGCCATGCTCATTTTGGGCTGTCTACGTAATTTATGAGTCCAGCACTTGTGGATGCATTTTCCTCAAGAGCTTGTAAGTGAAGCTTTCTCCACTAGCAAGAGACCCCTTTCCTATACACGCCACTTTGCACCTTACGGGGCAACGGGTTTTGTCACATAAAGGAACTTTCAGAGAACACAATATACAGCGAACCAACCTTACCGCTGGTAAAATGAGTGTGAGTAGACCACCACTCAATGAGTGGCGCTCTACGATGGCTTTACATTTCTATCAGTCCCTATCACGAGAGCCTTGAGTTCACAATAGTGATAAAAACCAGAATAGTAAATGAAAAACAATTCTGTGCACACTGAATCATACCATTAGCAGCACACATCGAATTTTCTAATAGAGCCGAAATGTATCTTTTCATCTACCAGTCTGGCTGGCGCACACAACTGCCCGCCTGACGTGACAAAGCGACAAAGCATGCAAAAGTTCAAAAAAAAACTCAAAAAAATGAATAAAAAATAGAGTGCGGCTATCAAAATCTGCAACATCACTTGTGTTCGAAGCACAAAAGAACATATTTACCTCTTGACCTCGTTGACTGCCTTTAAGGTGCACATGGCTGAACCCTCATCACGTTGAACGTGTGAGTGCTCGAAGGCAATGGCACAAATAGCCATTGAGCTGAGAGGTCAAAAGTGGCCCGGTAGCGTAATAGGGAACGCAACCGCCCGGTAAGTGGAAGATGCTGGGTTCGAAAGCCGTCCGTGGTCTGACTTTTGCCCTCGGCTCAGCACTCTTGAGGTAAATCCTCATGATTTGCCAGTGTGAAAGATGTATTGGGTTGGCTCATAAGTAATGGCGTTTTTTTCGATTAGAAATTTTGTTCGAGAAGTGAAACGTCTTCTCATACTACAAGAATATTGAAACAGCTTTGGGTGAGGAAATAATTTTTGTAAGTTTTGCAGTCGTTGATGAAAGTTGAGAAAACTAGTACCTTTGACACCTCTATTTACGTCTATTCGAAGTGCTAAAATCGCTTAAGCTGCTCCATACATTTGCAATAGGTTGAGCTAGAAGTCCCAGCGAGGGAATCCTCATAGGACGCTTCGGAACTAATTTCAAGAAATTTCGATGTTGGTCCTTCACCTCGCAAATAGCGGGCAGGATCACAAGTCATCGCGTCTGTTCCACTCGAACTTTTATGCTAATAGTTGAACCTTTCGCTAATGTGTTTTGTATGCCCTAATAGCAAATTTCGCCACTTCAGAGCCTGGCGAGCTACGCGTGGTCAAATTTCTTCTCGCCGAAAACAGTAATGATTATGGGCCTCATTCCACTGA